CGGCGCCCGGCCGGCGGCTGTCGGCGGCGCTCTCGGACGCGCACACGTTCGTCTTCCACAACGTCAGCGCGGGCTCCTACCTGGCCGACGTGCACTGCCCGAGCGACGGCTTCGCGCCGCTGCGGGTGGACGTCGGGGCGGCCGCCACGGCGCAGGCCTGGGAGACGTTTCGCGGCAACGACTGGGGGAACAAGGGCGAGGCGCTGGCGCTGCGCCCGGCGAGCGACGGGAGCCCGGGCTTCGAGGTCCGCGCGCTGGGACGCAAGGCGTATTTCATGGAGCGGCCTGCGTGTAAGTTTTTTTTTTGTTCCCTTCGCAGTTTGAGGGGAAACTTGTGTGCTAACGGCGGCGGGGTTTGGTTAGTCTCGGTCATGAGCATCCTCATGAACCCCATGATCCTGATGGGTCTCGTATCCATGGTCATCTTCATCGGCCTGCCCAAGCTCGTCGAGAACAGTACGTCCCTTTGATCACCACCCCAGTACAACCCTTGCGCCGGTTTTTGCGCAACGAAAAACATGAAAACTGACCGAAAACGCCAGTGGACCCTGAAACACGCGCCGAGTGGGAAGCCTCGCAAAAGGAAAACCCCATGAACTCGATCCTCGGCGGCGGCGGCGGCCAGCAGCAGGCCAACTCGCTCGGCAACTTTGACATGGCCGCGTACCTCGCCGGCTCGAACAAGAAGGAGGGCGGTGGTGGCGCGCCGGCGACGGCGAGCGGTGGGGAAAGCAAGACCAAGAATAAGGGCGTGAGACGATGAATAAAAGGAATAGAGGCCGGAGGAATGAGGTAGACATGGGTGCAGATTAGAGAGGTTGGGTAGAAGGGAGCTTCTGTATGTGGGTGTGACGGGAATAGACGGCATAATATAATTACATTGCGGTTCTTTTCGCATACACTATGCAAATTCCTTTTCTACATTTGAGTCACGCGGTCAAAGTATTCGTCGAGGGGTAATTGGCATAGAAATCGTTCGAGCATCTGAAAGAGCAACATGATAATACAAGGCTCATGTTCGGCGGTACATGGACTATCAAAAAGGCAAAGACGACCCCAACCCTCAGCCTCGCAAAAATTGAGAAACATTAGCCCATTATAAACCCCCTTGTAAGGTTAAAAGTCACCGCCGCCGCCGTCGTCAAAGTCGCCGCCGCCGCCATCATCACGACCGTCCTCTGCAAACGTGTTAGTTCACCATCCCGCGCTTTTGTCACGAATGGGCAAAAAAAGAAAGAAAAAAGTCACATACCGTAGCCGTCTCTGTACTCGTCCTCGTCATGGTGCGAAATAGCCTGGCTGATCAGGACACCACCGAGCAGACCGGCGCCCGCGCCCATGGCCATACCGCCCATGCCACCCATCATGCCGCCGCCGGTCCGTCTCTGCGGCTGCTGCTGCTGCTGCTGGTAGCCCCCTCCGTAGCCACCGCCGTACTGCTGCTGAGGATAGCCGCCCTGCTGGGGGTAACCACCCTGTTGGGGGTAGCCGCCGTACTGGGGTCCCTGGTTGTATCCGCCATACTGCTGCGGGTAGCCGCCCTGCTGAGGGTAGCCACCCTGCTGGGGGTAGCCGGCCTTGTTGGGGGTAACCGCCGCCGTATTGGCCGCCGCCATTGTTGTTGTAGCTGCCGCCGTATCCACCGACAGGAGTGCTGCTGCTGCTGCTGTTGTTGTTGTTCTTGCGGCCCAGAAGCTTGCCCAGAAGGCCGCGCTCGCCGGAAGCGCCCTCGCGCGCGGGCAGCTCTGACGGAAACGCGCCGCTGCCGCCAGGACGGCCGTTGCGGGCGTCTTCTTCGGCTTGCAGCCGGCGGGCCAGGGCCGCGTCGTCCTCACCGGAGGAGCCGCCGTAGGGCGCGGGCGGGTTGCTGCTGCTGTTATTGTCATCCCGCTTGGTGTCGCTGTTGTTGTGCTTGGCGTCCTGCGGGCCAGCGTCATACGGAGGAGGGCCGTCCTCGCCGCCAGCGGTTGGGCGCTCCCACTGCGATTGTTTTGTGGCGAGGTTGACGTAGAACCTGAAGGGTGTGGTTAGTTCTGTGATGGTCGAGATGGATCGGCGTGCGGGAGTTGCGGGGGGCCCGGGGGGGGGCAGGTCTTACCATTCCTTGTATTCGGCGTTCCAGCGAGCTAACCAGCCAGGAGGCACGTCGGGTGCCTTGGGCGGCGGAGGACCGGAAGGAGGAGTGAAATCGGCCATGGTGAGTGTGTTGGAGGACGCGGGGGAGGGGAGCTCGAGGTCGAGGAGATGCAATGCAGGCAAGGTCGATGCCAAGAAAGCCAACCCTGCACGTAATCACTCCCCCTCTTGGTTGGTGGGGAGGAGTTGACGATGTGGGGGTAGGTTAGCGATGGATAGACAGGAGGTAGCGAGCAAACTTGACAGGGTCAATGGTGATGGATGGAGAAAAAGGAACGAGAGAGAGAGTGAGATGGCAGTTTGAGAGAGAAAATAAATTCTCGTGCGATTCGCGTCGGGATTAAATTATAAATGGGCTGGCCTTTGCAGATAGGACGTCATAAAACACGCATACGTAGGCGGGCCTCTCGGTGTCAAATCGCCCCCGCCGGGAGGGAACCTGTTGTAGGCTGTATCCGTACCTATCCGTACAAAGTACTGGTCATATGTAAGCACAGCTTGCTTTGCACCTAGCTAGGAAATCATTACGCTGGCCAGGGTTCAGTTCAGACGGGGGGCGTAATGTTCTTTCAGCAGCTCTCGGGTCCGGTTTGCTTGCACAGCCTCGCTATGTGGCTTGTGTCCCGGATGCCGCGCTTCCGATCAGGTGTGACAAAGTGAGGCTGTACGAGCAGACGAGCAGGGCAGGTGCCTATCTGCACTGTCACGCCGTTTGATTTGAACCACGTTGCATTTGGGGGCTGTACACACTACACAACCTCCATTTCCAGACGATTCCATAAGTGTCGATTCCTACTTTACAATGCCGCCGTCCCATGCTCGTCTTTTTTTGTCGACTGCACATTTCCCATGCCCGTCCACAGACCCGTCCTCTGATCCACCGCAGCAGCCATGTCGACGGGCTCGTAAAAATGCGCCGCCGCGTAGAAGCGCGGCATCAGCGCCCCAACCGCCACCTTGAACCAGCCTGGATACCGCAGATCCCGATTCGTCGCCAGCCGGGCGTCGACGGCCTTGACAAACGGCACCGTCCCCTCGTCCTCATGCACCATCGACCGCAGACACTCTTCGTCCACCATCAGACACATGGGCATGCGCAGGCCGGGGTCCAGACTCGCCAAATGACCGCCCTCGTCTTCCTCTTCCGCCCCCTCCTCGTCATCGCTGTCGTCGCTGTCCAGGTTGCTCACGCTGTCCCGGTAAATCTGCGCGATGCCTCCCGGGCCTAGATCGACGAGCGCATAGTCGGACACCAGCGGCAGCTTGACGCGGCTGCTGATGCGCGCGAGGTCGGTTCCGGGCGCCGCGGCGAGGATGCCGCCGTCGACAAAGGTGCTGAAAAGCTGCTGGAACGACGCCCAGAGCGGCTCGTCGGCGTAGAAGGTGCGGAAGACGAGGAAGCCCATCTCGGCCCACTGCGCCGCCTCGACGCGGCGCACGAGACGCTGCGTCAGGTCCGTGTCCGCTGGACCAGGGGCGGCAGACGGCCCGGCGGCCCCGTCGACGGCGAGAGCCGCGATGCCGTGCGCGGCTCGCCAAGTCCTGGCCTCGTACAGGATCAGGGCGGCTTCCTGCCGCGCTTCCTGCACCTTGCGCTCCATGAGACTTTCTAGTTGCTATGTCCGGGGGTGACTTTGTCAGTGGGCTGTTCTAGGCGGCCCGGGTATATGGCGCCGTTACCTCTTCCGGCAGAGCATTGTACTCTGCGGTGGTTGCATTCTGGTACGTCGCTTCCGTCCATCCGGGCGGTAGGTAGGTGAGCAAAGGTAGGCCGGCCATAAATTTCTTTTTTCTCCAAATCCGATTGAATAAGGGATGATGAAGCGTCGAGGTCGGCGCCGCGTGGCTACGTCTCCTGAGGGTTGCAGCGAACCCTGGCCAGGGAGATTAGCAGCCGCCGGGCAATTTATCAAATTCCACCAAACTATGAGCAGACTAAAAGAGTGGCTATGCTACTTCTTGATTAATGAAGGGCTGCGGATAAGTTCATCCGAGTACTGAATCGGTCATGTACTAGGCACAGCACCTAGGTACCTACCTACGCGCGTGAGGCCTGTTTTCTGACAGGGCACTGGACACGTTTTCCGCTTAACATATAATTTTCCCCTGTCACAACGCTGTTGACGTCTCTGACACGGCTTATATAAAATATAAATGTTTTTTAATACGTAGTGGCAACCTGACAGCGTTGTGACAGGGGAAAATTATCTGTCAAAAAAGCGACCTGTCTAGTACCCTGTCTAAAAACAGGCCTCACTCGCGTATGTAGGTAACTAACTACCTAGGTAGGTACCAAGGTAAATCGATGTGCAGTGGCAATTTGAAGCTCACTGTGTAACAAAGCCGTAGCGCTTGTGATTGCACCACCATGCTATGCTGTAAGTCGAGCGCCAAGGCAAAATCAGGATGTGTCAAACTCTCGTGATGAACAGATGCCGATGAAAGTATTTTTCTCTAAACCAGATATTTCTCTACGTTCTTTTTTATCAATTTGAATATTGAGATTGTACTAATTCCCTGCCCATTTGTGACTTGTTCCAGGCTCTGGCTGCACCCAACGTGTGTACACCTTTGGTTGGCCAAAACCAATATAGACCCACTTTTATACAATCCTTGACCTCCTTGACAGTAAGCAGCCAGAGATAACCTCAAAACTTGCAACCATACCCCCTCCTCATATACGGAAACCAGAGCCTTTGTGCGTACCAGCATTACCCTTGTCATCGGCACGGCACTTGATAACCCGACACTGTGACTATTCATGCCTGGGTACAACTGCGAAAGGGCCCTTGCACTGAGCAATACTGCATGTACTCTTAACTTGACCATGGTCGCGGTTGCGGATATATCCCCCCCCCCCCTCTTCACCAACGCATGTGCCCTTTTATCGAAGTCATTGCCTTGAAGCTCACACCACTGAGCCTCTTTACTCGGAACAATCATGCAAGAGGTTGCGCACGGCCCAGGCGCTCTGTGCTTCTGCGGCGACCAAGACTCTCCGTCACGGCTTATGGCAATGCTTACGTTGGGATCATCAGCTCCACAAGTGTCAGTCTTGTTGATCAAGTACACTTGTAGTGCTAGCCCTTTCTTTTTGACGGCCTGGAGGGAATACAGGCCAAGAAAACCCTGTACGGATGTCAGGTGGCAACCTAGACGGACCACCCAAGGCGCTCTTTGTTGACCTTGATGCGCTGGGGGCCTAACGTCCTCGCGTCACACCTTTGGGGCCGCCGTCATTGGGTCGCATCTTGTGGTCGGGGAGGAAACGGTAGCCTTTTCTCTGCGTTCCTGTCGATTTCTATTGGCAGTTTAGGCATCCGGTCCTCGCCCGTGGAGCCGTTGTCTTTTGTCGCCGCGTTGTTGTACGACCATGGCCATAAGACGCACTCAACACCAACAACATGTAGCAAGGGGCGATTGACTGCCTAAAAATCTCGGCTCCTGGTCCGTTTGAGGCAGCTTTCTCGTCGTGCAACTCGACGCGGAGCTGTCACCTGGAGCGGAGATTTCCCTTCCTTTTGACTGGTCATTTGCAACAATACAGAACAGTACTTTGACTACTTGCAGCACCTGAAAGCAGTGAGGCTATGCCTATACTATCGGAAAGGACCGGTCGTGCACCAGTTGAAGGCTGCCTAGGTAGCTGCCTACCATGCCTGTTGGCCTTTGTGAGGAAACACAGGGCGACTGTGAAAATAGACCGTCAAAAAGTATAAAGGATCATGGTTCCTGACCAACAGCTTTTGCCATACAGTCTTCCAATCAAACCCCCGCCTGCTCCATTGCACGAAAGAGTGCAACAAAAATGCCAACAAGCAAGAAATTGAAACGGGACTTGTCCGCCTCACCGGAGACAAATGGGACCGATGCATCTCAGAACCCTTTGTCAAAACATCCTCCAGAATTATTGAATCTCAAATGCGCACCAAAAAGCAAGAAGTTGAAAACCCAGGACTCCTCCGCCTCACCGGAGACGAATGGGTCCGATCTACTTCTGCAACTTCCTCGAGAATTACGGGATCCCATCTTTGCAGAACTTCCCTTAAAAGACATCAAGAATCTCCGACAATCAAGCAAAACGGCGAACGAGATGACGAGCTTTCGGATATTCCGGCGCGTGTTTCTTTCTCGAAATCCACGCAACATCGAGGTCTTCCTCCAAATCGCCAATCATAAGCACTACAGGTTACAAGTTGAGGAGATTGTATTGGACGAGGCATTTCTCACTGAATACTCTGACCAGACGCGAGACCGCTTTCAACGAGGAAGAGAGGTCAATATCAGGGCAAGACGCCGCCGCGCAGACGAAATCCCCCCCACTCGAGATTCAGGCAAAGAAGCCACTGCCGTGTGTGAGGCACAGCGTCTTTTGATTCAGGATAAAAAACAGGACACGGAGAAAAACAAGGGAAACGAAGAAAAGGAAGAAGGCCAGAAAAGCGCGGCTGAAAAGCAAAGGGCTTGGGTGGCTCTGGTCAAAGAAGCCACTGCCGTGTGTGAGGCACAGCGTCTTTTGTTTCAGGATAAAAAACAGGACACGGAGAAAAACAAGGGAAACGAAGAAGGCCAGGAAAGCGCGGCTGATATAGAGCAAAGGGATTGGGCGTTCTATCAAGGTCTGCTCAAAGAGCAGACTTCGATCTATTACGAGCATGGTGAAGAGTTTGACCAAGATTATGTCGCGCTACGTCATGGCTTGGCTCATTTCACAAATCTCAAAGCAATTATCATCACGTCAAACGCCCATGGTCAGCTCTTCATGCCAGAGTACCAGACACCCATCATGCGGAAATTCCCACCCGACTTCAACTACCCTTTGCCAGCATCCAACATGTGCGGGAAGGCGCACAAGAAGAACCAGCATTGGCCCACGGCCGCACGAGTCGATGCATCGCCGGGCGAGGTCGCGCCCCTGCCATTCGCATACCCCCCCAAGTCGCAGTGGAATGGGCTTTGCAAGGTCATAGAAGCGCTGGACGCATTACCCGAAAACCACAAACTGACGAAACTTGTGGTGGGGATATCTCAGGTGGAAATGGGAGTGGAGCCCAAATGGATTGCCCGCAGATCCCCATTCTACGAAAAGTTTATCAAGCTGATATCTAGACCCCAATTCCGGGAGTTAGGTCTCATGCTTGAGATAACCCAAACCGAGTATGAAAGGCTGCAGCAGCTTTTGACAAGGTATGAAGAAGCTACACAGATGGGGGAGGTACCGCGCGAGCTCATGGCTTGGGAAGTCATAGCAGCAGTGCCGCATATCGAGTCATTGAGCCTGCGGCAGATGCCATGCACAGCAGAAGCTTCAAGCTTGTGCCTCCCGTTACAGCTCATTTTCCCTCGCTTTACTCATCTAAAGTACTTGAGGCTATGGTCTTTCACGGCCACAACGCTCGATCTTATTGACTTCTTGTCCGGGATGCCGAAATCGTTGAAGCGCGTCGACCTTGTGGACACGCTTCCGGCCTACGCCCACTCCGCGTCGGAGAACCTTGACCCCCAGGAGCTACTCAGAGGCATGCTTGAAGTAATGAAGGCCAAATCCTTGTGGAAAACTTGGCCGGCAAACGCACGCCCCAACCTGCGCATTGCTCGGTGCTTGGGCTTCGCCCCGTACTACCAGCATTGTTTCAAAACCGAGGTCGACGCCTTCTTACACGGCGACGGCCCAAATCCTTTCAGGGGATCGGAAGATGGCGACCCTTTGTCTCCTCGCACCGATGAAGTGAAAGGCGTGATAAGGGGGACTCGTTATCCTTCGTTTGAGATACTAGCATCCTGTATCCGCCCCGAGTGGCTGGCCCGGCTTTGGGCCGGTCAAGATTTGAGAGGTCTGAACGGATCATCGGATGATGATTTGAGCGAAACAACGGATGCGGTTTGACTGTGGATAGAATTCGCTGACGATTAAGCCAGACGGTGAGCAAGTCGGTCAAGTATCCGGTCACAGACGGACAAGGAAACGGGGAGCGATGGTGAGATGATGCATGAGGCCTGCAGCGTCGGCGCGCCGAGGTAAGTGCATGTCACGAATTTCGGCAGGTGGTCGAGGGCAGGGAGCCGTGCGTATTTATTTTTTGCTGACTAGCAATGAAGAATAATCTTGAATCGAAAAATAGAATATGACTGTCAAATCCTTGAGCGCGTGCTGACTCCGACCGTGAGGCGCCGTCGAAAAGCCTCGTTGCCACCAGCAGATTCCAAATGCCCGTGACCGCGAGTTCCTGATGGACCAGTAGCGACTGTCTAGAAGGACCAGAAGAAAATAAAAATACAGAAAAGTGTAATTCTTTCAAACATCTTTGAAAGCGATATACTAACCATGTACTGTCCTGCGGGTGCAGTGCTTCTAGGGTACTGGCACTTGCGGAAACCAACAAGCAGCCCCAGCAAGCCTCAAACTCTCGAACCAACTCCATCACTGACATTCCAAGCACAGGAAAACACAGAAAAGGGCAACTATTTTAAATGCCTTTGATTGCGATACACGAATCATGTACAAGCACTGCTGCAGTGCTTGTAGTGTACCGGTAGCCACCACCTCAACAGGCTTGCCTCACAGCACTTGGGCATATACAATGCACGGTGACCAACCAACAGCCCGGACAAGCCTCGAACCTCGAGCTAACTCCATTCCATCACTGACATCCCAGGCATAGGAACCAAGTTACTGGTCTTCTCACGGACCACCATCGTAGCATCAATAATGCGCCTTTCAGTCGCACTCTCTTTGCCTTCTGGCCCACTACTGCGGTGCAATACACCAGAAAATGAATCCGATGTTGGTGCACGCTCGCTCTAATAACCGTAATTGAATGAAGATGACGCTAGGGTATTCCTGAATCTAATCTACTCCCTACTTGCAATCTCGTTTTCCCACACGGGCACACGTCCCAACCCTCCTCTTTCAGCTATACATTACATGACTGTAGACACGGGGCTCTTACACCCGATCATCCCCCAAGCCGCCGGCGCGCCTCTCGCCAAATAGGTACGCCGCCTCGAGGCAGAAGCGGCCGTGGCCCATTTCCATGCGGCGCTCGCTGCCGTAGCAGATGAGGACGGCGTCGACAATGCCGCTGAGCACGCCCTCCATGGCGCCCATGACGGAATAGCCGATGAAGCTGGCCATGAGGCCGACGACGTAAGCGTACGCGGAGCCGCGCACGCCCATGCCGTCGGGCAGCGTGAGCCGCAGCTGCTTGGCAGTAATCACCCAGCCGGCAAAGCCGAGCGCCGTGGCCATGAGCAGCCGCGTAGCGACGAGTAGTAGCTTGGCGAGGCGGTAGGGCAGGAGACCATGCTGCTGGCCACGCACGCGCAGGGCGCGAGGCGTGAGTGTGGTGGTGGGCATGGCTGGCGTGACAAACTCCATCTGGTCGAGGCCGCGCGCCGCTGTGGCGAGGCTCTGCGAGTGGATGGCGGCGTAGGTCACGGTTAGGGGGTTGGTGAGGGCGACGACGGGAGTGGGGATCCAAAACGAGGCAATGTTGGTGACGATGCCACCGAGACGCCGCGGCAGGAAGAGCAGCGGCGCGCGCACGAGCAGCGAGAGGAGCGTCGACTGGCAGATGCTTCCAAAGAGGGTGGTGGCGGCATGACCGAGGGCGGCGAGCACAATATCGCGCGACGGAGCGGCGGGACCAGCGTTGCGGTGAAAGTACCACTGGGAGACGGTGGCGGCCGTCGTGGCGCGGTGCACGGCGTTGACGACGGCCATGGTCCACATGTACATGAAGACAAAGGCGGCGCCGAGCCACCAGCTCGAGAGCTGAATGACGAAGCGCACGAGCGACTTGGAAAAGTAGCCGCCCATGAAGACGCGTGTAAACATGACGAGCCACGCCCACGTCCAGACGACGATGAGCGCGAGGCAGCCAAAGCCCATGACGAGCAGCGCCGGGTTCTGCGCGAGGATGCGTGAGGAAAACTGCAGAATCTCGATAGCCTGCTGGATCGCACGGCGGCTTTTCACCACCATCCAGAGCCAAAGCATACAGGCGGCGCCGGGGATGACCGCCGCCCAGCGCATCACCGTGTCTTGCAGGCTGGCGCCGTGTGTGCGGCCCTGAAAGGAGGAGATGAAGGCGTAGAGGGAAAAGGAAAAGAGGACGACGGGCACGGCGACGAGGATGACGCTGACAAGCGGCCGGACAAAGGAACGCAGTGCGGCCAGCCAGATGAAGGAGACGACGATGGCGACGAGGGTGTCGACGGCGAGCATGTGAAAGGACCGCTGAAGGGTGGTGTAGATGGTGTCGCCGACGGGGCTGCTGCGAGGCGCCGTGTGCAGCCAGACCAGCACAAAGGTGGACAGCATGGCGGCAAAGCTGATGAGGAAGATCCAAGCGAAAAACGGATCATGTCGAAAGATTTCGCCTTCGATGTAGATGGGGGCGGCTTCCGTCGGCTCCTCTTGGGCGGGATCTTGTCGTTGTAGACTGCTCACGTCGGACTGGTCTGTCGATGACCGTCGTAATAAAAAGGGCGTCCGTTCGGCGGATTGCTGCTTGAAGCGCTGAAACGGTGGGGGACTCGAATCGGTATGGGTGTCGCCGAGGAGCGACTCGGGCGGCTCGTCGTCGTCTTCTTCCTGCGACTCGAGCCCTACGTCCACCATGGCGGCCTTGCCACTGCGATCGTGCCCCGCGGCGGTTGACGACGGCACCTCTTCAGCCTCTTCGTGCAGGGTGTCGCGTGCTATATTACGCTGGAAGCCGCTCCGCGTGCCGCCGTTCCAGCTGCTCTTGATGCCGCCGCGGCCGCGGTACGGGCCTTCATCGTCGTCCGGGTCGGCGCTCTCCTCGAGCGACGCCCTGCTGTGGTAGTCGGACTCGGTGCTCTCCGCGAGCTTGCTGGCAGCGGCCACGCGGCGGGAGCGCTGCAGCGCAAACAGGTCGGCGGCCTCGCGGTCGCGCTCCGCCTCGTCGTCTTCCTCGCGGAACTCATCCAGCGTGTTGTGGAAGAGGGGGGCGTCTTGGGCGGCCGAGATGCGGGACGCAAAGGCGAGGTTGCCGAAGCGGGAGCCGGTGCCGCCATTTTGTTGGTATGGGTTGCTGCCGCCGTAGCCGCGGGAGAGAAAGGATCGCGTGCCTGGGGCGGCTCGGTTTCGTCCGGGGCGGGATGAGGGCCAGTCCGAAGGGTGGTGCCGGTGATGGACGGCGGCGTCATCGGGGTCGGCGGCCTGGCCGGCAAAGTTGGAGAGGCGAGATTGTGACTGGGCGAGGAATCGGGAGGCGTCTGCATCATAGGTTACGGTTAGAGTTGTCATCGAGGTAGGGCAAGCTGGGGGGGGGAACGCACATTCGGAAAACATGATGGGCGGGAGTCGTCAAGGCACCAGACCGCCACCTCGCCTGGAGCATGGGGTGGTTTGTGTTTATCGACGGCGGAAACGTTGGCGGGAAACTGATCGAGCAGAGCAAGAAGAGAGGTTGTTGGGGGGGAGGCCGGATCCGGGGCCGTCGTTGGCTGGGATTACGTGAATGGCGGTTCCGATTACGCACTAGAGGATAGGTGCCTGGGGGACGTTTGTATCGGTCGCACAGGCGATGCTGGGCGCGGTTGTTTCGTGGGACGCGAATGTTGGGGGGCAACGCAGAGGAAGACGATGCAGGGCTGTGTTTTGGAAAATGCAGATGAACGGAAACGGATCGAGTCGGGATGAAGAAAATATGGTCGATGGCATGGAGGCGGTCATGGGACGTTGGACTTGGGGAGCGTGGGGTTTCGAGGTGACTCTGCTAGCAGCTGACTGGCCGCGGGTAGATGGGCGGCGATAAGGCAAATAAATGCCTGCGTGCTAATACTACTTGGGCTAGGCGAACAATACCTATTAATACTCGGATTATTTGAACATTATTCCACTGCATGTGACAAGCTCGAATAACTAGTGTGTATTCTGTATTTTCTTTTCCAACATCGCTGTGTCGTCACTGCGTCACTAGCAAGCTCCGCTCCTCATTGGCCTTCACGCTCTACCTTATCGAGCAGGTGGTCACGCCTTAGTCATGACCACAGCCATGAGGCACGATATCTGCGTCAACTCTCTAATTCAAGCCATCTGCTTGTCTTCCAGATTGCCGTAACAAAAAAATATACTCGATCGGATATCTTGCAAAATGCATCAAAAATGAATATACAGGCGTCATCCAAGGTCACAAACATCGGCCAAAATAACCCGCCGGTTAGGAACAACTAACCTCTTCCTTATTCTTACTATTTTCTTCCTATTTATTCTTTCTCGTTCTAATTTTCCTCATTATTACTATCCCTCTTATTTTACTTATCTTACTTTTGCTTATACTTATTATGTGTGCGGCCTTTTTTTTGTCACCCGCATGGTAAGTGAATGCCGTCAAACAATAACTAGAAATCTCGACATTCTTCATCGTCACATTCTTCTCCGCGTCCGCGATGCTGCCCGATGCGCGACGACCAGCATCCTTCACCCCCGGAAATAGCTCCTCAACATGCTGCACAGTCTCATCACACCATCGATCTACGCTGCCCGTCGCCTCGTACACCAACACCTTTCTGCCACCGTGCACGCATCGACGGACGAGGGCACGGGCAATGCACAGCAGCTGCATCGCGCTGCGCGAGAAGCTCGCCCCGTCCAGGCGCTGCCTGTCGAGGGGAAATCTGGTGGTCCAGCGACGGGCGCTGCTCCAGGGTGTCGCGCAGGATCGTATCGTGAGCGGATCGCGTATCCTTTTCGCGGAACAGGTCTTGTCTTCAGCCAACAACCAGGCTGCCACGTATCAGCTGCCACGCGCTTCAGGATGCCATAGTTCACCGTCTGCTCCTTCACTGCCCCAAAGCTTCTCTTGGAAATTATTAGCTTTTAACGAGTTCTGCGCCAACGCTTCGCCATGTCAAGTCAATCTTTTGCGCTCTAGACTTGTTTGGAGTTTATAATCGAAGTGAGATACTCTCCAGTATCGCCGTAGCCATCGATACTGCCGAGCTTGGACTCAAAATACTCAATGTCATGTAGCATGCTGCACCAGATTAGCACATGTCTGTTGCTTGGGATTCCGTGAACATACCTGGCCCGACCCAATTCGGATTTGGGATGTAGCTCTTCAAAGACTTGGCCCAAGCGGTCTTTATAATTTATAAAGACTAGTCTCATGACCATATGGACAGTTGCTTCTGGTAAATTCTTCGTCAAGATGCGGGACAGCGACGTTGTGTCTTTTGTCAGTGTACCCATGTAGGAATGTACATTCGCCTGACTATTGTCCCAGTCGATATTCCTCATGGTTTTTACGTGTGAGTTGACCAGGCCACTCATGATGTCCACTAGTTTGTTGTAAATCTTGTGTTGTTGCTCTCGGTAGAGGTGTTTGACAAGGTCAAGCTCTTCAACACTCGGATCCGCAGCACCACCTCCTGCAGAGTATCTGACAAACTCGCAGACACGGCTGATAATGGTTGCGACGAATGCGAGGGCCTGCGATGCGAGAACCAGGTGCTTTGAGGTGATGTTCCTCAAGCCTGCAGATTGTCTAGCCCCTGCACCGAGAATGAGCTGTTCGCAGCTTGAGCTAAACAGCCGGAGATATGACACTAGTGAAGCCCCGATATCTGAGGTCATTGATGGGATGCCAGTCATGAGTCGCAAGAAGTCGGATAAACCGTACATGCAAACAATCGCGGAGTAGGGAAGGACAAATATTTCCTCGTCAATGGACGCATTCCTGACCCTAGCTTTGCCATCACCGCTGGGTTGCGTTTCATCATGGCCAATAGATCCAGGATCGTCAACTGAATGCGGAATCCAAATTTGCAAACCATCTGGCCCTTCAGCAGGTCCGCTCGCACTGCAGGATAGAATCCTATTGAGCTCGGATGTGTCTTTCTCCGCGAAATCCTTTGCATCCCATTTGTCAGATTCCATGACCCGAGTAAGCCACTGCTTTGCTGCGTTGGCATGCTGCTGTATGAAGTCTTTAATTTGCCCATTAACGACTGTCTTGAGGATGGCACCACTTCGCCCAGAGATAAGCTCGCACTCATGAGCGAAGTCGAGGTTTAAAGCAAAGTAGCGGAGGAACCGTGTTGCCGATAGGTGTGCATTCTGCTCTGAACGAACCAGGAGGAGTTTCACAACGTTATCCTGCGCGAGGTCCACGGCTTCACCTAGGAGGTTGGGTTGGTCTATCACTTTGTGGATTTCCTGCAGCTCGATTGCGGTAATGAAAGATCTCGTAGCCGTAGGGCTAGCTAGGGGCGGCTCCATCTGCAGAGATCCTGGCCCAGAAGGACCATAGTCATCACGTAACGAAGTAGCAACATCTAGCAGCAGCTTGACTTGCGTTTTTAATCTTCTGAGCATCTCGATGACACTGATATATATCTTGACTAGTATTTCTTCAGCATCTTGTGGCTGAAGACCTCGCAGGTTACGAGCAAGGATAGATGATTTCTGTTGCCGGGACAACTGTCTGCTTCCTGTCGTGGATGAAGACATCGCTGAATCATCATCGTCATCATTTGAACTAGGCAAAGGCTGCCGAACTAGACTGCGGATTGCTTTTAGTGAGGCCTCTCTATATGCAGCGGCAGCAGCAGTGAGGTGCTTTGCTCGGTGCAAGCCTGTCAAGATCGCTAGGAGCGTGGACCGAAGGTCGCTGGTCGAGTTCATGTTGGATGGAAAAAGCGAAGAGTCCGGTACATGACCACCTCGAGACCTTGCTGCAGCAGTGCTCCAACGTGTGAGTACCTCGTGCGCAGAGAAACCGTCAGAATGGCACCGAAGGTCGCCTAGAAGAAGGTCAAGAAATCTTGTTTCGTAAACTCTGCCGGTTCGGAATCGTAGAGTTGTCACACTGTCACTGAAGCCTTGTAGCGCTGTTAAATCTCTGAGATCCCTTAGCTGGAGGTCTCGGCCGTGTATCCTTATTGATGAATTTGAAGGATCTGGCTTGCCAGCAATGAGCCTCTCGAGAGCTTCAATGCTCTCCAAAGCCTTCTCGACTTCTCCATTACCAACGAAGGATTCGCAGGTAGCAGTGCCCTCAATAATATGTTCTAGCTGCAGCACTGCGTCGTGTAGTTGTTGGATATTCTGCCGCCGTTGGCGCTTCCGGATGATGTCTAGCCCAGCGCTTGCGAACGTCTCATCCAGAGTCTGGAGCTCTTTCCTAAGACCTTTCATTCTCTCCACGGAGTCAATGGTTTCTGCATGGAGCTCCAGTAGCGAACTCAGCGCGGTAAAAAAGGTTATGGAAGCTTCTGAAATAAAAGCCGCGAGGCCCAGCTCGATTGTATCCATATACCAGGATATCTTTTCTTGTAATACCGCATTTGTTGCGAGGGCTTTTCGTGGTGGTCCTGCATTGCCGTCCGCAGCAGCCGTTGTATCTAATTTCGAGCGCAGCGGTCGGACAACCTCTGACCTTTCACTGACCACGTCAAAAGTTCGAGGATTCTCCAAGTGGAAGTTGTCTTCGAAATAAACGGGCGGTATTGTTGACAACCGCGACGACCGTTGCGCAGCTCTGCTTCCGCCACCTGAACTGGGTCTTCTGGCCGATGCAGATGTTCCTACCTGCGATAATGTAAAGACGGACGAGGTAGAGTATTCCCTTGACGTTGATGACTGCTGTTCCGGCCGCAGGTAGCCGTTGTGGGAGCTGGCGCCAAATTCCTCCGTTTCACCACTCCTTCTGTGGAGAATATCTGCCGCCTCCTCCCTTCTTCTTCGCAATTCTTCGAGTAGTGTGCCAACCCGAGTTAGGTAGGGGTTGAATTCGGCAACTTCAATGTTCGCGATGTTTGCCAGTGCCACCGGAGGGATCGTACCTGCCGTTGGAGGCTTATGGGCGTTCAATGCTGGAGCGGAAGCCAGTGGTAGCCGTTGCGGCTGCAATATCGGCGGTTCTAGTAATGTGGATATTGCTATTCAAAATATTAGCTAAAGACTTCAGGACAACTAGAGAGGAGTCCAATGTACCATTCTGTCCGGGTTCCCACGTCCAACCTGCCGAGCTGCTTGACGGCGTATGCAACGCTCGTCCGACTGAGCGTATGGAGCCTACCGTCGAGCCTTCTTCTCTAGGAGAATACGCCCTTGTAGTACCATACCTGAGAAGGGGTTATCCTCTGTATTCTGTGAAACGTCTCGGTCGCAATACTTTTGAATGGGGAACCCCGTCCTGTGTGCATTTCGAGATGCAGCTGGCGATGTGGTATCGGATTTGCCTGCCACGGAATTCCAAATCATTTTGGCAAATGCAGGTTGTCAAGCCAAGTATAACCTTTACCGAGCATGAGGCCGCAGGATAGAATAGGGAGGCCAGGTGGGATGTTGAAAAGAGGACAGAAGCAGGTCTAGCAAGATCGCCGCTTCGATCTATGGTTTTGAGTGGTATAGGGTGAGATAGACAAGTCAGTTGCAACGACGAGTTAGAAAATTAGATGCTTTAATCGATGCGCTTTACGTTTGTCAGGACGATTGGTCTTGCTGATAGGTACGTTGCAATAGGAGGGTACAGATAAAGCTAGGTTAATAAGGAGGTTACCTCATCCGAGTACGAGTTCACCACAGTTGGACCCACACTCAGGACGGTTTTTCCAGCCCTTATAAATTTATAGAGGTACTATAGACTAATAGGCTTAATTAGTATAAATAAATGATAACATATAAAGATAATAATACATAATATAATACTAACGCTCATTTATTAAGTGATTTTAACTATAAGAATAGCCTTGCTCTGGTGAATCTCTGTGTTTTTGTTTGAAACGATTCTCTGTAACTAACACGCCTGTGGGCAGGCATGGTACAAGCAGGCTGTAGGCCCCTGTTGGCAACAGATTCAGCTTCACCTCGTCATTTCGAAAGACGTCTGCCATGTGAGCTCAAAAAACCAGTTACTGCCGCTATCATCTGTGCGGCGTGTTCAACACTTGACAGCTGAAATACACAATCAAGGGCGTCCCAAGAACACGTTACCAGCATTGTTGCTCGTCTCCGCCAGACAGACGACGTTATCAACCAAATCCGCGTCATAGCTGGTAACGCGGGGATAGCACTTGGCGTGTTACATCATGACCAAGTCATCTACCAGGCGAACTACGGGTACAGTACAGGACGTGGCAGGAGTACAGGACGTGGCAGGCGGCGTCCCACCCGACTCTGACACTGTCTTCCCCGTTGGGTCCTTGACAAAAGCCATGATCTCGGTCAGGTCAACTCCGCGGAGTTGGAACAGGTTATGCCTGCCCTCGATCGGGGCGGTCTCAGACTTGTCGACAAGGACTTGCTGCCCCTTTTGAGACCAAAAATTATTACCTGCTGTAAGGCCGAGACGGTGTGCCAAGAGGTCAGCGAGGTTGGCTTCAGTCGCAAGCTCCTTGAGCTTCAGACTGTTGTTTTCAGGGTGGTACTCGGGTACGAGTTCGGATAGCTTCGTCTCCATGCTGACTTTGCCGTCTTCGACCAGGCTCGCAAGCTGCACCGAGTTGAGGTTCTACCGGTATTTTCCCAAGTAGGGCTTGTACCGTGACATGGTTAGGTTAGCGGTTAGGTTAGTGGTTAGGTTAGTGGTTAGGTTAGCGGTTAGGTCTTTAGGTTAGTGGTTACTTAGGGTTAATGGTATATGATTATGGTTAGTTGTTAGGTTTAGATTAGTGGTTTGCTTGTTTTGTGGTTGTTCTGGTTATTCTGGTTAGTGGTGGTGGCATGTACTGGTACAAGCCTTATCCGGGAAAAGCGCGGTAAAACCTCAACTCGGTCAGGTCAACTCCGTGGAGTTGGAACAGGTTATGTGTAACCACCCCATACATCATTACTAGTTAGGCTGAAATGTCGAAAGATGACCCCCCCGATCGCCTCTCCCAGGAGCTAAGGAGTGAAGATATATCCTTTGCCGCAGCGGAAGTAAGCGTCGAGCGCCGTCGAAAAGCGAAAGCAGCGAAGCTACTGACTGTCGAACCGAAATTACCACAAGCCTATCAGGTATGTTTTGACGACGGGCCACAAGACGCCCATTCTAATGATGCTAGCAATCTATCGGGTCAGATAACCATGGGCTAGTTAGCCCGGAGCAAGAGTTGACGACTCGAGACCTATCTTTCGCCGCTGCTGTGGCTAGCAACGAGCGACATCGAAAAGCGAAAGAAGCGAAGCTACACGCTGTCGATCCGGCATTACCACAAGCCGATCAGGTAGGCTCTAACTGCGGAAAATAATTTTCCATGCTAATGTTACTACCAGTCTATCGGGTCAGATGAGCATGGGCTGGTCGGCCGGGAGCAAGATTTGACGAGTCGAGACCTATCTTTCGCCGCCGCTGTGGCTAGCACCGAGCGACGTCGAAAGGCGAAAGAAGCAAAGGATGCAGAAGCAAAGGCGGAAATTGAGAAGAGGCGGTACGAATTGGGCGTGGCATCTTTCAACGCAGGGCATAGTAGTCGGGAAAGGCGTAAGAGAAAGTAAACACGATGATCTTCTGGCAAGGTTCTACCTATTTAACTCCCTACCCGCAATAATACCTTGGTTCCCTACGTAGGTACCTAGAGGCAGCATGGTTAACTCGTAGCACTCTACGGATACTTCCGGAGTGCCTATGCCGTGAGGCCTACCTACAAGGGTGGGGGGTGTTTTCAGACATAGGCTAAGTCCATATGATAAAATCAAAATCTTAGGTATGTAGATGCCATTTTAGAATCACCATATGTTAGGGGAAAATACTTTAAAAATAACAACCGAGGCAGGAAGACCAGCCAACGAGGCAGCACGAGTAGAGGCGGCACTAATAATAAGACTAGTTAGCGAGATCAATCCCATGTCTCTCACTGCTACCTACCACCTACCTGCCAAGCTATTTAACTACCTAGGTAGGTAGCTAATTAACGACCCAGCGTACCTATCTAGGCATCTATCTATTAGGCTAGGTAGTTTGCTACCGAGGTAGCTACTAGTCTTATTATTTAGGAAGGGAGGAGTATGTAGAAAGAGAGAGATGTTTCCTATGACTCTAGAAGTAGATTTTCTAGAATATTATTAAAGATCCTCAACATATGCTGGTGCAGCCTGACAGCGTCGCCACAGGGGAAACTAACATGGAATTCAGCCACAATACCCACTTTTATTGCAAACCCCTCGATAATGAAGCTTCGGCGTACCCCTTCCCCTTTACACATTCTGACCACCGAAACCGACATATATTATTCGCGTCCGCTGAACACCTATCTAGAGACGCTAACTCCAGACATACGGTGCAGGTTATAGCTCAATTGGTAGACTGTGTGCGTACGCAGTGACAGCTGTTGAGATACAACTCGCTTCCTCGGGCGGCCTCTATTCCGTTTTCCGGCAACCTCGCTTCAGACATGAATGACCGAGCAGATTACGATGACCTCGCCTGGGACCGAAATGATGAGGAGAGGGGTCAACTGGAAACCCCCTTTCTCTGTCTTTCCACGCTAAAGACTCTCGAAGCTGTCGTGGGGGCAGCTTTTGCTGGAGAGGCAAGATGGGTGCGTCCTGTAAACATTGGCGGATGGAATATCGTGTTTGTCTTAGAGCTTGTGGCATCAAAATCACGGGTAGTGATCCGTGTGCCGAGACCTCACGTGGCGCTTTTTGCCAGAGAAAAAACCTCTCTGGAAACTGCGACGATGAAGTTCCTGTCACAGCACACCAAGGTTTCGATGCCGAAGCTGTTATCTAGTGGCCAGCATGCCGACGTTGGCTACTACATGATCCTTGAATTTGTTGAAAACACCGGTTTGCTATCGCGCGCTTTAGCGAAGCCCAACGAAGATGATGAGGAAGCTCCCACCCTGAACATGGCAATGCTTGACTATGAGCTTGAGGCTCACCTCTATGACGTGGCGGTCCATGTACGGCATTTCTTCCAGCCTAGCTTTTCAGCTGTCGGATCGTTGAATCACACTCCGGATGGTCTTTTTGTGGTGGGCGGCAGGCCGCTCACTCAAAACATGTACAACATGGTATATCTCGCCAACATACCTCCCAGTGTGCTGCCGGCAGAAGACAAAATTTATCACACAGCGGATGACTGGTACACTGCGTTGGCGGAAATGCACATGCTGCAGCTGACCTTTCAGCACAATGACCTGGTCAAAGATGAAGATGACTGCCGGGACAAGTATATCGCCCGCCACCTATTTTTAAAGCTTGCTCGCGCTGGCAAGCTATCGACGTTTGGCTTCACAGATGATACATGGTCCGCCCAGTCAAAGGGCAATCTGCGGGGCCGCTGCAAAGCTCCAAGAAATACGGGACCGTTCTCTATTTGGTGTGATGATTTTCGGCCCGCCAATATACTGTTACACGAAGGACGCGGCAACGGCAGCACAGTCATCGACTGGGAATTCACATATGTTGCTCCCACGCAATTCGCCTTGGACCCGCCTTGGTGGCTGTTACTAGATGTACCAGAGATGTGGCACTCGGGCATGGAGGATTGGGCGCAACAATATGGCCGGTGTCTGAATGTCTGGCTTCAGGCCATGAAAAGGGCAGAGCAGAACTCAGACGAAACACCAAGTGGCTATTTACTTTCAATGTACATGCAGGAAAGCTGGACAACTGGTCGATTCTGGCTAAACTATGCTGCACGGAAAAGCTGGGCGTTTGACAGCATTTTCTGGAGGTACTTAGATGAATGTTTCTTTGGCAAGCGGCCGCATGACCCTGATGGCCAGAAACCGCTGTGGAGAAGAAGGATAGGACTGCTAAATCGTACGGAAAGGATAAATATGGAGGCGTTTGTGGAGAGGAAAATGAAAGAGTCTCAAGTCAAGGGCCTCCGGACTTGGAGTGAGCAAGAAGCTCTAGAACGCAAAGCTGAGGTCTTGTTCAACCATGACCAGGGACCGCTTCGCCAGTTCTGTGCCACCGTCGTCAGACTGATGGGCCATGTGCAGGTTATGGTCGGTAATCTTCGTGGTAATGGCCCGTAACTATTTGACCGGGCACAACATCCGTTGGAGACAATGGGACTCACTCAAAGGGCTGGTGCGGCAAATTATCCATAGATTCGGCTTCGTCACTATGATTGCTCTGTTTCAGCAAGGTAGTCAGCTAAGCCAAATTAGATTCTAAAATTATAGATTGAATTAAGACAACTTCTTCGTAACGGCAATGGCCAACCGCCTGTGTAGCGGACGTGTCGGTGAAGACGCCAAAGTCGGGCCTAAGCCCTGCAAGAAGCCTAGGCGCGGCGGGCCCAGGATCCCCGGAGTGTATGTACTCAATCGTCGGAGGGGAAGAGTTCCGTCGGCACGGGGTCGTTTTGCGCGGCGGCGGCCGTCATCGGCTGTAGGTCACGCAGTATCTCGTTGAAGCTACGGCCGAATACGCGGTGCGCTTCATGTTGTATGGTGTTGCTGGCGTTGAGGATGGGTCAGAGGACGGTCCTGTTTTCTGCTTGATATGTTTGCAGGCTCTGTGGGAAGAGCGCCGCGTCCCGCGGCCCGATGCGCGCGTCGTCGGGCGGTAGCGACTCCGGGCGTACAGCGGCGTCGGCAACGGGTACTATTAGTACGTATTCAGGGCTTGTTTTAGAGTGTAGCTGGTAAAGATAAGAATGAAGAACAAGCTCTCACTATCCGAGACTACTGGCGTTGCACTCGGCGAAGAGCCGCCAGCGTCATCGGTCCGTTGAACCTTGGGAGCGAGGGGCATTCGTCGCATGATGCGTGTGTTTTAGTTTATTCTTGTGACTCTTTTGCGTATGTGAGCCCATAATAAATATTTTGTTGAGCTTTCCGATCTTGTGGCGAGGTAAGGCTGTGAGATGAAGGAAGCCTTCGAGTCTTATCACTCTTTTTTTTGCATTTTGAGTTTCATGATAGGAAGACAGTGCTGCTATTCACAATTGTGAGAATTGGGACTGCTTGTATTGTGGAAAATATCAAGACAAGAGCTGAAATGTCCGCCAAAGAATCTGGGTTTCACTGATGAACAGGCCTGGAAAGCTGCAGAGGGGGTATAACCTTGATCGCTTTTAGCTTTTTATTTTTCAGTTTATTTTCATATGGATTTAAGAACTCTTTAGTCTAGCCACTTTTGGTTTGCGGTCTCAGAACAAAAGAACTTGAACAGTCATGTCGTCTCTGATATTTCTCGAAAAAGGTGCCTGGTAGGCGAGTGAACCCTCCAAGAACTCTCGATGGTTGCCGCCGCAGGCATTGCGCAGCAGATGCACCGCGACATTGTCCAGGTCCTTCAATATCGTCCTGGTGTAGTTATACCTCATATCAAATCTACATTCCATGATCTCGTGGAACCTGCTAGAAAAATCAAATCCAGGAGCGTATTCGATTTGCCCCAAAGTCTTGCTCCTCCACCACGAAGTAGGTGGTGCCATCCTCAACTTCATCTTCATCTCCTCCATACTGCTCTCCAGCTGGGCCTCCAGCCACATCACCACAAGGTCCACCCCCTCGCCGTTGTCGACAGAATCCCAAAACCCGTCAGTCGCCAGGATGACGATGGACGGCTTGTCGCCTAGTTTCCTGACCGTCACAACAGGTTCGGCTATCAGGTACGGCGGCGAAGGAATCTCCTTTTCCTCCATCCCCTTGCTCGTCGTAAAAATACGGCCGAGTTTGTGCTGTGCATCATGCGATGCCTTCCACCGAAAGTTTCCGAAGGCGCGGGCAACTCGCAGCCCCAGAACAGCTCCGTCCTTTACAACGTCCGGCTCCTCTTTGTGTGCAGCTCTAATTCTCGCCACCTCGGCTTCATTGTCGAGTGATTGGTCCTCAGAGAGTGCTTGTGGCAGCCAATTGCCGTCCGATTCCTGCTGACCGAGAACAGCTCTAGAGTCACCCGTACATGCCGTGTACAAGGTCTTTGTAACGGGGTCGTATAGTATCAGCAGGGCACACGACCCAGAATTCGCAATCTGGGCGTATGTTACTTTGTCCTTGAAAGCCATTTTCTCGTTATGCGCGCAGGCTATAAAATCGTTGATGATGGAGCCGTCAAGTTCTGTGAAGGACTGTTTGATGGCCTCCTGAATCTTTTCGTCGTCTCGGGACTCCTTGTCCCTCTTCTCCTTTTGTAAGTCCTCCTGGGTCTTTTTATTGTCTTGCTGTTCATTATGAATCTCTTCATCGCGTGGCTCAAGCTGTAGTTTGTTCAGCTTCCTTTTCACCACTTTCAAAAGCTCCTTCTCGAGATGGTCGGCTGCCTGCCATCCAGAGTGTCCGTCAAAAACAGTAGCGGCAACCCACGTCTCACTTTCCCACAGGGGAAGTGGCTGAACACGATTGAACCGGTCTTCGGATGGGAAATTGGAGGGTAGTCGTGCACCATCGGCCCTTTTAACACCAGTAGCATCAAGGAAAACAGAGTAGGCATCTTGTGAGAGCATTCGCGCCACGTCGTCTCCGAAGTCTTGCAGGTCGGAACTCATCGTGATATTTACCTAGATGATCTAGTTGTTGGGAAGTAATTCTAGGTGCAAATGTTTCCTGAATGTAAGTAAATGTGGGAAAATATTGTTGTCGTTTTCGCTAAAAAGAGCGGTGTGAAGGTGGTGGTGAAACCTGTCGTGAGGGTGATGCTTGGGTGGTTGTGTAACCTTGAGACTTGATGTGGTTGTGTAACCCTGAGTCTTGATGTGGTTGCGTAACCCCGAGACTTGATATGGTCGAGTAACGCTGACAATGGCGGAATTATCACCATCAATGAGATCCTCCATTTACAATATTGAGGCTCTGGATGCGGCTGTGGCTGTATGACGCTGAAAACAGAGGAGTTGTCCTTGTGACTGAGGCCCCTATTTAGGAGATTGAGGCTCTTGATGTCATTGCACAGCGCTGAAAGATAGAATTGTCCTTGTGACGGAGGCCCTCAGTTAGTCAATTGAGGCTCGTCAGCCTTGGGCACAACTCTGTTATAAATACTGCTTGCTGACCTCGGCGATGTCCTCATTGTCCGTGTTCCTACACTTCAAAGACTGGTCTTCTCTAGTCTATCTACTTTGAGATATTTACTTTCTGAAAATACATAAAACACCTATACGCCCTTTTCCATAAGTCTTTTCAGCCAGCCAGGAACCATGTCTACTGAGCCTCGACCAGTAACACCACCAAGTGGACCTCCCCCGGATAATCCTAACCCAGGTAATCCTCCCCCGATACCAAGGAAGCCGCCCGGCAAGCCTATAGTATTTGGTAAGAACTAAACAGTGCTAGCACTTCATTTACAATTGCTGATATAAATTTAACGTAGTGCACTCCCACCGGGTGTCATCCCATTGGAGAAAAATTCTCCAAGGAGTGGGAATTACCTGGTGCGGGTAGACTTGCCCCAGACGGACGGGCACCGGATGATTGTGGCAACTATAGAATCGAGTGGCCCCCGCACGGGATGCCTAGCCGGATCGTGAAAGCTGCAGATCCTCCAAGATTTCACTTTATTTCCACAGAAGAGCAAGGGAACGCGGCCATTGCGGGGTTACTTCCCAACCGCCGGACTGCTACTCCAGGGAACATTCCTAGCCTTACGAAGCTGCAACATGATGCAGAGCCTCGGCCAGCACTTCAGATTTCTGCTGGAATTTCGGCTCTTCTTTTCTTCTCAATTTGTGTCAAAAGGCACCGATGGTCCGCATGATCACTGTCTGCGCTACTCGGCAGCGTCCACGGGCGGATGCACTTGGAGTGTGCGCACAACATTAGTACCGATCATTCACGTCACAGGGCAAAGAATATGGCTGATAATAATTGATTGGGATACTACAGTCCAGAACGCGGACACAAGCACTACAACGAAGTGTTTAATGTGCGAACAACACGGGCTAGAGAAGCCACTTGCAAAAAAAATTGTCGACTATGCTAGAGAGCTCGCGCCATGTCAGGAAATCAAAACCCGTTTCGCCCCTAGCACAACAGCTAGATATCGCCTTTTGCCGTTGAACCAGACAAGATTACTGAAGAATTCATCCACCTCGACTTTCCGTTTCATTATGTTTAGCATCGTCAGCGTAACAGCGCACACTTGTAATAGCACTGTCGTGTCTGTCACTGGCGGCTCGTTCATCGCGGCTCGGCCGTCCACGTCCACGTGCTGGACTGTGATGAGCTCGGGCGGCTCTGAAAGCCCCGCCAAGGCCTGGATCTGCTCTGGGAGCGAGACGATGCCTCGCGTGCTGCTAATGAGCACGGGAATCCGCGGTTCCGGTGGCGGCGAGGGGGACCGTCCGAGCCTGGCGCGGGTGGCGGCGTAGTCGGCCATCTTGGCCGCAAAGCCCCTCAGCGGGGGACGGGTGGCCTTGTAGCGTTGCACCCGTGCTAATTCTTCGTCGTCTGACATTGCGGTCGGATCGATACGGGCGCCTAGCCACCGTATGTGAAATGTGAAATGTTCGGGTGGCCAGGAAGCTAGGTGTGATGGAAGTTGGTTGCCGATGTCGGGACGGGGCACTTGTTGGAAAGAATTGCTTAGGAGGGGGCAGCGTTGAAAAAGTGCTGTCGTACATCCTATCATGACACCAAGTATATATTGACGCAAGGTAGCACTGACATAGTCACTTTTGTAGAGGATTACAAAAAAGAACAGAACATGAAAAGACAAACCCGTATTACAATACTCTATATGTATTATCGTATACGGTAGCAAACTTGCTTATCATGCCTTGTATGTGTTGGTCGGGCCATACAACTCTGCACCTAACCTCATCACACGTCGAATCTGTCTCAACCCGCTCGTGCTCATCGCATCGGAAAACATGGTCAAAAACATCAGGATCCTGCGGATCTTTCGGGCTGTTACTTGGATACTCCTGTGACACGAATTCGACGACTACTCGTGACTGCGCGATGAGGCGCGCCCCCAAAGCCTGGCTTTCTTCACAATAGGCCGGCTCCTGCATGGTGTCCCAGTGGACGCGGAACCGAAGGCAGTGCAAGTCATGACGACAAGCGCGTTCTTGCACCAAATCGTAGAGCTGTCCCATGCGGAGCACCGGTGATGGCGTGCCGTCATTCTTTGGCGGGATGGTTGTGGAGTTGATCCGCGCGACATATTCGCTGGTGAAGAATGGGCCCTCGACAGTTTCGGTGCTCCAGATGTACCCCAGCTGACGGACAGAAGGCTGGGTAACGAGCATGCGCCGCCAGCTGGCGCCGCTGCGGTGGAACTGCTGCCGAAAGGGCTGCACGTAGGCGTCCTCGGGAGGATCGACGTGGATGCTTCTCATGATGCCGTCCTCGTCCAGCTCCTCCCGGCGCGGGTTCGGTGTCCAGGGCAGCGCCATGAACGCGTTGGCTTGGCGAAAGTAGGCCTTGTCATGTATCTCAAAGAAGCATGGCGAAAAGTACTTGACGAGCAGCGGGTTTCGTGTAGGCCATGGCAGTGCATCGTCGGTTGCCTTGCCCTTGCACCAGTCGGTGGTATCCGCGACCAAGTCGTCCACACTCTGCTGGCCGGCGACAGCCGTAGGAGGCGCATCGCCGGGAATTGGTTGAAAAAACAGCTTCTGCTGCAGTGCTGGCGATGTAGTGATCAGAGCGCGCCAGGCTTTGCTCACGCGCTGTGCCGAGACGAGCACCGTCAGCATGTCTGTGTGCCAGAGGATGGCCTCGTGCAGCTCAGGCACGGCGAAAACCACGGCAACGGCCATGGCGCCCGTTTGTGGGTCGTTGGGCATGGATATTGAAGAAACGGGATTGCTAATACTGGATGGCGGCAGTCTCCGGCAGGATGACCACGCTGGTGCCTTTTATGTTTGGGGATGTTTTTGAGCTGGTGCCTGGTGGAAGTGCGCGCCAGCAAAAGTGGTGGGCACCCACAGAGGTCAAACAGGTTATGTGTAACCCAAACAAGCGTGTGGTTACTTAACCTATACTGCCCTATCTCATACATTCATCAGTGGTCTCTGTATTTTTAGTAATCATGAGTGATGGACGGCTACGCGAGAAGGGCTCACCCTACTAACGATGCGGAAAAGCTCTGGACTTGGCAGCTCAACATGTAACAAGGGAAATAAATTGACAGAGTGAAGAGTTGAACAGCTCGTGTAAAGACATTTCTATCAATACCGAACACATGATATTGACCAGAACCTGGTGCATCACATGGTTGCCTTACCGCCGCCATCCTGGGCAGGTACCCAGACCGGATCTTGGTGTACGTGACGACGTCCTCGCCTCTTTCTCAGCCTAGACGACTTGTCTCCTCATCCCAAAGGCGAACTTCAACGCTCGTATCCTCTGCTCCAAACCATTCGGTACGGTCTCGTCCAATTGTCGTAACAGCGTCTCCGCCTGGTCGTCTGTTGCACACGCACTGTCAGTACCTCCAATTGCATTCCGATTTGACAAGAACAAAAAGCTCCGAGACTCACTATCGAGCGCTTCCAAGTCTGCTAGCTTCGCAGGGCAGTGTGGGATTTCCTGCCCAGTCTCCAAGTTGTATAAAGGCGCCAAATCCATACCGCTCCATACTACAAAGCTGTTGGATAGGCGTGCACTGGAGTTCCGAATCCTACCCACGTTCTTTGGGTCAGTCGTCTCCAAGATAGGTAATACTTCCCGCCGGTATTCTTACGAAGTATCCACCTTGCGGTTCAGTGCATCGATCTTCTCATTCAAGCTGTTGACGAGGTCTTGTAGCCCAGCCAGCATATGAATGACGCTGTCCCCTCCATCTATGGCGGGCATGGTTGGATGATCGCCGGCCGCGGCCGTAGGATCCGGTTGTCGTGTCTCTTTCGCTTCCATCTTGTTAGACAGAGAAATTTATTATAGATAATATGTGTGGTATAGATACAATACGTATCGCGGTGGATAAGAAGTGGTCTTGTTGTTCCGTTCTGATGTTGTTTGTCATTAAATACTATTTTTATTTTTATTAATTCTAAAAATTTGTCGCCCCGCAGAACTCTGCCACAAACACCACTATGTTTGGATAGACTGGATTGGATTGGATTGCTATCTAACGTCGGTGAAATCCCTAACGAGGGCAAAGGACGCCGAGCAGCTCCGTACCATGCCCACTCGGCGGCCAGCGAGCTCTTCGTCGAGAGCACCGCCGCGTTGGCCGCGTTGTAGCGCACCTGCGGCTGCGGGTAGTTGATCACTGCTGTCCATTTTGACTTCTTCATCGAAAAAGAAGGCAACGAGCCTTTCACTTACACGCAAACCCATCGGCGCGTTCGCCGATGATCACCTTGCCCGATATGGCACAAGCGTAGTGTACTGGACAGTACACTCATCCACCGGACTAGAATGGTGGGGGTTCCGCATAGCCGTCGCCACTTGATTCGCGGTCTATGAATACGGTGGACAGACTCCCGCTTCTATTTGGAGACCGCTCCGGTGGCCGGAGCCTCTGGCGGCTCACCATGGAGCCGGGTGGTGTGGGGAGAACTGGACAGCGACCAGCAAGGCTGCGATCAATGGCGAAGAATCAATTTTGAGCACCGTTCTTTTTGTAAGGTTGGTTTCGAAGCGAAGATACCGGCAGTGTTTCTTCATACGGCCCGCGCAAATCGTGTCGTCGCTGCAGAATACAAGCAATGTCACCACCACCAGCTTCCCATCGACCCGACACCACCCCGCGGCGCAAGAAGCGGCCGCGCCCTCTCCCCCACGTCAACGCCCGCAACCTCGCCATTGAAAAGAAGCGGCGGGAGCAGATGAATGATAATTTCGTGGTAACTACTACGCCCCCGACCCGTACAGCACCAAAGAAGAAAAAAATCATCAGCTTTCCCAACACTTTTCTCTTCACAGGACCTGGCCCATCTCGTCCCCTCGCTGGCTCACACCCAGCGACTCACCAAGGTGCACATTGTCCGCGAAACCATTGCGCACCTGCGCAACCACCAGGCGCTGTGCGCCGCGACCGCGCACGAGATTCTGGGGCTGCGCGCGGACCTGGAGCGTCTGCGGCGGCCCGGGGCGGCGGCGCTGGCGGCGTCCCCGACCGTGGCCCGGCTGCTGGCGGTGAGTCGGTTGAGGAGCGGCGACGGGACGGCGACGTTGAGGGATGCACACGAGGGGCCGGAGCCCAAGGGTGGCAGCACGGCACTCGATGGGTCGGGGGACGGTGACGGCGCGAGGCAGCAGGTATCTGTACTCTGGGAGGCAGGGCACGGTAATGAGGTGTCGGCGCAGGATGCCCAGAGCTTGTGGGATACTGGATATGATTTTACGGGAATATTCGAGTCGGGTCAGGAGCCGTTATTATGGCCTCTTGCTCCAGATGCATCGGCTTCGAGTTCTAACCTGTTGGGTGCGAATGGCGTGCCTACACCTCCCCGCCATAGCTTCGACCTCGATGTCATGACCAATCTTGTCTATCCTACCACTTTTCTCCCCGAGGACATGATATACAATGCAAGCTTGAAAGACTCTCATTTGGGCGATGCATGGTCCGGACTAGGTCTAGGATAGAAACCGTTCAATTCCACGCTTCTTACATCTGCAACAGCTAGACCTGCTTCATCGCCTGCTCAATCGCTTCCCGGCTCTGCTTCTCACACTCGCGAAACATGTCCAGCGCCTCCGCCAGTCCCCTCTTTGTCATGGGGTCCGCCTCAATCGCCTTGTGCAGCGCCTCGCCCCCATTCGCCAGATAATCCACGTCGACGTCGCCGTCCCAGGCGGCACCCAGCGGATCCGTCGCCGCTAGGTGCGTCAGGCGCGCCGCCGGCAGGCCGGGCGCCGCGCTCTGGTACGGCGGCGGCGGGGTGCTCTCCACGTCCCGCGCGGCGAGCTCGGCGAGGATGTTCTCGGGGATGGTGGCGTGCGCGCAGCCGAGCTCCGCCATGGCCATGGCCTCCATCGGGGACAGGAAGCTGGCCATTTTGAGCATGGGCTGCGGCTGGCCGGTCGCGTCTGCGAGCTTCTTGTAGGCGTGCAAGATCTGCACGAGGCGCGGCGCCATGGGGTGCTCGAGGGCCGGATCGGCGACGTCCGGCCACTGGGTGCGGTCCGCGTGGTACCAGGAGACTTGCGTGTCCAGATTAGCCCAAGGCTCACCAGTTGATCATGCCGGGGCACGTACAGTTGAGATACGGGCTGATGGAGAGGCAGCCCGCTTGGCTGGCGGCCACGGCCTGCGGGACGCCAAACAGCGACGTGCCGAGCGTGCGGATGCCCTCGTCCAAGAGCATGCGGCCGGCGCGCAGCGCAGGTCCGGTGGAGGGGATCTTGATGCAGAAGCGGTCGCGCGGGATGCCGGCGGCGGCAAACTCGCGGGCGTAGGAGCGGGCGTGGGCGAGCGTCTGGGCCTCGTCGTAGGCGGCCGACGGCGAGGTCTGGAGGTGGAAGCGGCCGCGGATCTTGTCCTTGTTGAGGGCGCAGAGACGGACACTCTATACAGGTTTTTTCTTTTTTAGTATTTTGTGTAGAGCTCGTTTTTTTTTTACTTATATTTCGGGTAAATATGCTCACCATGCAGTCGAGGATTGCCTGCCAGCCGTCGTCCTTGCGGTCCCGGACCGTTTGCAGGAAGAGGTCGTGGTTCGAGGGGGCCACCATCTGTAGGTACACCAGCCGCTGGTTGCTCGTCTGATCGTACGGCACGAACGGCAGAAGAGCGACGGTCTCGGCCGGGTCTAGACAATCAATGTCGATTTTGACTGCATTCCCCCGTTAGCTGGTTATCGCCTCGTGGTGTAAGCGCGCGACGTACTGTGCTGCTGAAGCACGTCGAACCAAGTCGTTTTTGCCATTTTGGACGATTTCAACAAAGTCTCTCTGAAAGCTGTTACTTTCTGAAGCCTTCAAAAATCCAGGGCAACTCATGATTTATATATGCATGTCTGTTTGCTGCATACTGCTTTTGACCACCTCCGCACTTGGTCTGGAACCCCTCGCTCAAGGCAGAAGCGCTAGGCATGCAGGTACTGTACAGCAACCAGGCGCTGATCGGGGGAGCGACGGACAGGATGCCGCCGGTGTTGCCTTTTTACTGGTGAGGGGTGGAACTTTGTCATTCAATTTTGTGACGAAAAAAAGCCACATACCATTGCGGTGCATGTACGGATCCGTACTGTGCAGTGAAGAACCTCTGTTCTCCCCCTCACCCGTAGTGAGGCCTCCCTACAGCTACGGCGGCCTTGTGACGAGGTGCGGCTGCCCAACCAAGCCTCGCCCACCATCGACAATCCGTTCAGCCCCCAAAGCCACCCTCCTATCCGCACCCTGAACACCCGAGAAGCCTCTGCCCGTCTGTTATCCGAAACCTCAAGCCCTACACCGAATTGTCCTCCGTCCAGCGTTTCCCAGCAATCAGAACCAAAAGGCGTGCCTGCTACTTGACCACTCTTCCCGGTCTAGTCCCTGGCTGGCCGGCCGGTCTCGCCATCGTCCGATATCAGCTACACCAATCGACGCACGTGCGACCACTCCGAGAAGGGGTCTGCCTGCAGCTTCTCTCCACCTCCTGATTGACCAACGACTCGAAACCCCTTCGAATCTCCTCCCGCCGTCCACCGTCATCAGTCTTTCTCCTCGTCCCCCCTAGAGCCTGCACATCCATACCGCTCCACCGTCCCAACCACCAACCGCCCGCCATGTCGGCGCCGTGGGACTACATCGCCAAGCTCGTCTGCATCGGCGACTCGGGCTGCGGCAAGTCGAGCCTCACCATCCGCCTGTGCGAGGGCCGCTTCTCCCCGCACCACGACGTCACAATCGGCGTCGAGTTCGGCTCCCGCATGGTCCCTGTCGGGCCTCCTCACAGCAAGACCCTCGTGGCGCCGCCGCTTCCGTCCTCCTCCTCAATAGCCGCCGCCGATGCCGCCTCCGACACGGCACCCTCCGCCGGCCTGCCCGAGCCGCCCCGCGACAACAGCAAGACGCCCCAAAAACACATGAAGCTTTCACTCTGGGACACAGCCGGCCAGGAGACGTACAAGTCGGTCACGCGCTCCTACTTTCGCGGCGCCTCGGGCGCCCTCCTCGTCTTTGACCTCTCCCGCAAGCAGACGTTTGAGCACGTCACCGACTGGCTCAACGACCTGCGCCAGATTGCCGAGCCTGACATTGTCGTTGTGCTCGTCGGCAACAAGGCTGACCTTGTCCTGGACGAGAGCAAACGGCAGGTGACGCAGCACGAGGCGCGCGAGTGGGCGCGCAGAAACGGCGTGCTGGAATACGTCGAGACGAGCGCCAAGAGCGGCGAAAACGTAGAAAACGCCTTTATGCGCGTCGCTGAGCGTATATACCAGAATATTCAGGCCGGCAAGTACGACCTCAACGATCGCCGGTCCGGCGTCAAGGGTCCCAGCGCCGGCGGCAGTAGACAGGTCAAGCTGGGCGTCAACGGGGGCAAGTCAGGAGGCTGCTGCTGAAACGACCACACCTTGGCCACATACGATACTAATATCCAACGGAGAAGCATAATTATTAGCATACGGAGAATGGAAAGAGGTCGCTGCTTTACAAATGATACCACAAAGCTCCCGATTTTTGTATAATATGGTCTGCTTGCGCATGGCGAATGGCTTCAGCTTTAATGATACTTGGAAATCAACAGCCCAAGTTTTTTCCTTCCACTACTATGAGAGCAACACATGGAAGTATATGTATGTGTCGTCCAAACCCAGGAATTGCCAAAACCCTTATCGCACTGTCTAGCATCCCATAACCACCAAGCTGTTGAGCGAGAAAATCGCTCTCATGGGCTTGCATGCTGCAGCCTCACGTGGACATGCATCTGAACCCTGCAGCCGGGTGGCTGCGTAGTTGGAAGATGCTTCATCTTTGCCATGACGGCGTCATCAACAGGCATTAATCAGGCACAACTTTGTCAGAGGCTTGAGAAGGAGCAAAAGAGCTGGGGAGTCGCCTGTGCTGCGAAAGTCCTCCGTGACGCCGACGGTCGGCGAACGGCGCCAGGGCGCACTACGGTGCCTCCTGCCTCTGGCTCCCTAAGTCCAGTGACGGGAAGCGAGAGTATCTATACCGGGAGCCCGAGCTCGTTCGTGACTACGAAAGCCACTGCGACAACTCGCCGATCTGAATATGGCTCCTCGGCAGACGGGCAAGCGCCTCTTTAGCATCCACGGTTTGTGAGAGGAGCATGGAGAAGGCGGCCTTGTAAGAGGACCAGGATGCTCTTGTGGTAGCCTCGCTTGCTTAACGAATCCAAATATATTTGGACCTGTGGTCTATGAGGCCACGACGGCGCCGACGTTTGCCAGAGGGGCAATACGTTTGCCATGATGGTCCGGTCAGTGAGTAGCTACCAGAACGCGCACCAAAAGAGGATGGGTTGTGCGGCAGATTTGGTGAGTGATGCGAGGACCAGTGGGAGAAGCATTGAGAAGCGTATCATCCAAAATTGCAAGTTCCATTCAAAAAAAATCATATTGCATTAGACACGGAATATTCCTTTTCAAGTGCTACCCATTTTTATGTAAAAAACAAGAAAGACCAGTGAGATTTTGATGTTGTACATGACATGGCAGCTGCTCATGAATAATTTTCATCGTCCTCTTCTCCAACGCCCCCTCATTTTCCGTATACTTAATTAGCGCAACCTGTACCAAACAACATCCAGCAGATTACGAGGCCTATTGATAGATTTGCAAGTTCAGGTACGCACAAGGCCAGCACAAGAGACCACTTAGTCGCTCATGCGCCACGTCTCGAACCACCTCATGTACGAGTACTGGCGGTTGTTACCAGTCATGCCCCAGCAGATGGGGATAAAGGTAATGTAAAGGCCAACAATGACAGAGTACAGGACACCGTAGACGGCGCCCTGGATCGCCTGACTGCGGTTTCTCAGCAGCCAGTCGACGAAGAAGCCGAGAGCGAGAATGGCAAAGTACAGCGCCGGGTAGTAGTGGTGCACGTAGGTGACGCGGGCCATGATGACAAAGGGCAGGTAGTGCAGGAACCAGCCGAGCACTGGGTAGATGCCGGCGTAGTGAATCTGGTCAACTTCCTCGCTGTCGAGGTCCTTGAAGCCGCGCTGCCAGCGCAGAATGTACCACACCACAACGAGGCCGACGAGGCCGAGCGACGCTGTCGAGGCCCAGTACACAAAGGGGTTTCCGAGGAGGAAGTACTTGACAATGTTGTCGTCCCAGCCGCACATGCGGAGGCCGACGTGCAAAATGGGCCACTGCCACCACTGGGAGGCGAGATCATCCTGCTTATCGGGGTCGGGAACCAGGGCATTGTTCGAGGTCATCATGGCGACGTTGAGGTGGATGAAGTCGTGGAAGAAGGGAGACTTGTACGAGCCAGGGTCACCGGGCGGCAGCTTCTCGTTCCAGTGCGATTCAACGTTCCAGTGCGTGTACGAGTCTCTCGGGTTGTTCTTGGGAGTGCACGTCACTTCAATCTGCTTGAAACCCCACTGAGGAAGGTTGGTGTTGCCAGCGCGGAGGTAGCAGCCGAGTGTAGGATGCTTGAGACGGAACCCAGTAGTCAAAGTGCGAATTCGGCTGCGGTCGCGCGAGGCGGCATCGCGGATGACCTCAATCTGCCAGTGATCCTTATCGTCACCAATGGTCAGGTTGCCATACGAGGAAACCTCGCGGTCAGACTTGGTCATGGGAGCAGCAATCTCGTGCGAGTGCAGATTGCGGCCAGTAGAAGCGTGGATCAGACGGATGACGGAACCATCAGCAATGTAGCGAATGTCGGTCGAGTTGGCATCGTAGTCGGCTTCGCCGCGGTTGGGGTAGATGAACCAGTCGTTGTTGGCGTCCTTGTGGTGGTAGCAAGTGACTTGCTGCTGCTGAGAGCCCTCGGGATAGGTCTGGACGTGGGAGTGAAGAAGGCCGCCGCCGTAGCCCATATTCTTGAGCGTGGCACGAGAGCCAATGGCAATTTCAAGGGGGCTGTCCCTGCCGACGTCGGTGCCCTGGAGGTTGGCTTGGAAAAGGGAGCTCATCTGGGCATCACCAGGTCCACTCTTGCTGAGGATAGCAAAGTGCAGGGCAAAAGAGAGCATGTAGATGAGGAAGGGCACAATGATGAGGCCAACAACGCGGGTGACGACGTGGGCGCCGAGGGTGGTGACGGGCATCTTGGTGTTGCCAAACTTGTTCCAGAGATCCTCCGCAGTGTAGATACCGACGAGGGCAGTGACAAAGAGACCAACGAGCTTGACACTGCAGACACAGCCAATGCTAATACCGGTGAGGAAAAGCCAGAGGAACCACTCGGGCTCGAAGCTGCTGTGGCGTTGGTTATGAAACTTGGCCCAGCAAAAGACGGTGGCGACGGTACCGCAGAGCAGCATGGAGTCGAGGAGGATGAATCGGCTGATGGTGGTGTACGAGTTCTCGCAGAGGACCATGAGAGTGACGAACCAGACGGCGGGGCGGCGAAGTTTGAGCTCCTTGGCCGTGTAGTAGGCCAGGGGGATGCAGACGATACCAAAGAAGGCGTTGAAGGCGCGCATAAAGGTGTAGTCAACGTCTTCGGGGTACTTGTCGCCGGACTTGAATTCGAACGAGCCATTGTAACCAGCCAAGACACCAGAGAGACCGACGAGCATCTTGCCGAGCGGGGGGTGAACATCGAAGTAGTATTCGTGCTTGATGTAGTAGGAACCGAATTTGCCAAAGCTGCGTGTGTTAGTGACGTGACGATGGCAGCTTTCGAAGTAAACGAGGAGCTTACTGGGCTTCATCCCAAGTGACAATGTCGCTGATGCCAATCTTCCAGAGACGGGTGAAGAAGGCTAAGGCCGTGAAAATCAGCGGGGCAAAGACGGGCTCCCACTGGTTGAAGACATCGAGGGTGGTAGGGACCTGAATGGCTGTTAGGGATTGTCATGGACGGATCATAATCTCGGCCGAACCAACCTTTTTGGTCAGCTTCTTGTCGTCGACGGGCTGCGGCGCGGCAGGGATAGCCGGCGACGAGCCAGCAGTGCGCTTGCGAAGGCCCTCTCCGGCGTCAATGCCGGAGGCGGGGGCGCGATCGGCTGCCATTGTGCGCGTTTCTCGTAGCTGGAATCAATTCTGACTATAGAAAGGCGGTCGATGCGTATCGAATGGTACAAACAAGGGCCACACGGCGGCGTGTGGGCTCGGGCGTACGAAAGAAAGGAGGACAGAAGTGCAGCTGGAGGGCCTCGCGATGGCTGGTATAACGAAGGGACGAGCGTTGTCTCAGGACTCAAATAAGTAATAAATTGGGGAGAAAGAAGAAGAAAGAATTAAAACACCCCAGCATCAGACGGCGACCATAGCAGTCGCGGGTGAAGGGGAGGATGGAAGAGGTATGGGAATAGGGAGAAGAAGTGAGGAGGGCGAGGCGACGCGAAGCAGGCTGGCATGGAGATTTGGATCGAAAGGGGATGTCTAACCTTCCGATTTGTTAGCTGTGGCCCCCTAGCATTGGCAGGCGGCGACGGAGTAAATGGTTAGCAGAACCACTTCAAGGCCACAGACAGCCGCCAGTCAAAGCTTAGGAAGAGCTTAGGCGGAGGCCCTTTTGGCCAGATTGCATCCACGAGACGCTATAATTAGTGCGTTCTGGTCGTTTTAGTGGGACACGACGCGCTGTGGACTTGGTGATAGAATTGACAGCGGTGCTGCCCCTGCGTTGCCTTTTGGCTTCAGCTCTTCTTTGTGTCAACCTCGTTGGAGGAGGTCACATTGGGACGGGGAAGCACAGGCAACTTCAGCTCTGTTCCTTGTCGCGATTTTCAAACCTAATTCTGACCCGGTCCGCCCCAGCTGCATAATGATTCAGCCAAGGCATCCGTTGTTAGGTACCAAACACGCCGCCGGCTTCAGAGGACTGTGCTGTAGGGTACATGAGACCTCTCTAGAGCCCACACAACCTCCACAATACATCATCATCATCCCACATACCACAATAGCATAACAATTGGTAGTAATACCTGCGAACCTTTTTTGATGATGATCATAATGAATTAGGCTTCGGCCGCACCATAATTTTTTTTTTTTTTTCGGTTCTCAGCTTCGGCAGAAACCACCATTCCCCCCCGGGTAGTCAGGCTTCAGTAGACACCACCACCAGGAAGCACTCTTCCTTCATCAATTCATCAAAACCACCATCGAAACCACCATCGAAACCACCATCGCCATCACCTCTATCTACCTTCTATCAATAAAAACCAAGCCAGAATCGCCATCGCCATCGCCTGCGAGTATCGCCATCGCTATCGCCATCGCCATCGCCATCGAGGAAGGCTTTTTCGCGATAGCGGCAAGAAGAGGGGCATATCTTAGAGGTCACACACATCTTGGAGGTTATATCTTAGAAGGGCACATCTTGGAAGGGCATATCTTGGAAGGTCACATCGTGGAGGTTATATTTTGGAACGTTAAGGGATAATTGGTAGCGAGGACGCCACCGTCTTCGATAGCGGCATATTGTAGGGTACATGAGACCTCTCTAGAGCCCACACAACCTCCACAATACATCATCATCATCCCACATACCACAATGGCATAACATGTGCGCTAATATCTAATACTTTGTCCAGCCTACGTGGCACCGAAACACAGCTCGGTTTAGGGGAGCTTCACAAGCAACATCACACAGCCACACCACCCTACCACATCTCTCCCCCGCCACACTCGCCGCCACACTTCACCAACGCTTCTTCCCGACACTGTTTGCCTCTTCGGAGTCCCCGTTTTGTCCCGTCACATGCTTAACTGGTTAGTTCTCTCTGTTGCCTTACCTCAGCCAATTATCGACCTATTGCACGTATCCTATGAGCCTCTCTCTCTCTCTCTTTCCTAGAACCTAGAACCACATGCGAGAACATGTAGCATTTCACACCATTCGTACACCAGCTCATTCCCCGAGGACAACGTGATAGTGCCAGCTCATTACGCGGCAACCCCGTCGTCTATGTGCCCTCTCCCCCATCCACCAACATCCTCCACAGCAGCCGCCACCACGACGCCATAGGCTAATGTCATGTCGTCTCTCGTCTCCGATTTCCTCATCAACCCTGTCCTACGCCAGGCCCGCCGATTCTCTGAAATTTCCCGCTCGACCTTTGGAGGCGACGATAATGCCGCTGCCGCTGCCGCTGCCGCTGCGCTTCCCGAGGCCATAAGTGACGCCTCCGAGCCGGAGCACGACGCCCACGACGACGATGCCGCCGCCGTCCTGCCCTCCAGCCCCATCGCCGAGCCCTCGAGTCCCGTTACTGGGCCGCCGCGCTCCGAGACTGCTGCTGCCACCCCGTCAACACCTCGCACATCGACTAGCTCCCCACCACGAGACCACCTGGGCCTCCCTGTGTCCGCGCGCAAGCTGGGCGGGCCCATCCCCGAAGACGATGGCATGAGCGCGCTGCGGACGCGGATACACCAGATCAATGCGCTCGACATCGGACAGGCTGAAAAGGCAAAGTTTATCCATGATATTCTGTTGGAGGGCTACCGGGCCGCGCGGCCGCATCTGGCGCCCACCACCAGCCCTGGTCGGGATGCAATAGCCGGCGGGATATCGCGCGAGTATCGGGTGCCCGTGCCCATGACGCTTGAGTCGTTAAAATTTTGGCAAAATCAGGTCGGCGAGACGGCCGCCGCGGAAAAGTTTCTGCTCACCGGCGCCGACCTGGCGCCGACCTACGCCCCTATCCGACTGCCCAAGAACGCAGACGGCTCTAGGGATCCGGTCACGCCGCCCGACATGCTCCCGCCCCTGGGCTGTGCCCACTATGAGCGCAACGTCAAGCTGCAGTGCTCGACCTGTAATAGATGGTACACCTGCCGCTTCTGCCATGACGCAGCCGAGGACCACAGTCTCGTTAGACACGAGACGAAGCACATGCTGTGCATGTTCTGTGGCACGCCTCAAAAGGCATCTGAAGCCTGCGTCAACTGTGGTGAAACCACGGCGCAGTACTACTGCAACATTTGCAAGCTCTGGGAGAACCGCAAGAGCAAACCCATCTACCACTGTGACGACTGTGGTATCTGCCGCCGTGGCCACGGCCTTGGTAAGGACTTCTTCCACTGCAAGACGTGTCGTGCTTGCATCACCACCTCCATCGAGAGCTCCCACAAATGCATCGAGCGCTCCACCGACTGCGACTGTCCCATCTGCGGCGAATACATGTTTACGTCGCCCAAGCCCGTCGTCTTCATGCCATGCGGTCACAGTATCCATAAGAAGTGCTACGACCAGCACATGAGGGTGTCCTATAAATGTCCCATCTGCAACAAAAGCCTGGCCAACATGGAAACGCAGTTTCGCAACCTGGATCTGTCGATTCAGGCGCAGCCAATGCCTGCCGAATTCCGCGACACCAAGGCTGTTGTGCTCTGCAACGACTGTTCTGGAAGATGTACAGTGCCATATCATTGGCTCGGGCTAAAGTGCCTTATTTGTCGTTCTTTCAATACTGTGGAGTTGCAAATTATAGGCCGCAACAGTGAGATTCTCCAAGCGGCCAACGAACGACAAGAAGACCCCCCTGTGGCCCTCGAGGCAACCTCTGCCGCGCAGCCAGTCAACATCTCTACAGAACGTCCAACAGGCGTGAACCGACGCAGACACTCTTCTAGTCTTCATGTCGATTCACAGTATCCCGTGCCAGACAGGACTGCCAGGTCTCTCTCACCACAAAACATGATGCCGGAGCACCACACCCTACCCACTATCATGGCTACTGAAGATGACTCGGACAATGACATCCTCGGCATATGGGGACGGTCCGGGGGGGAGTCCAGTAGCGAAGAAGGGGAGGAATACGAGAGCGACAGTGATGACCTTCCGGAGATGGATGACGACGAAGAAGAAGAGGAGGACCCGAACGAGATTGTCCTCATCGGCCATCGATGAAAAGCTGGCTCCCCTCCATTTTCACTTTACTTTTTTGCATACAGGTACGACGACATTATGATACAGAAACGCACATTGGGAGGTGCCAGGAGACGGAACTACATTAATTGGCGTTTGCATTTTTTTTTTGATACTGGGAGTCTTGGGCACGCATGTTTCAGGAGTAACTGATATTAGAGTAAAGCATAGTATAAAATAACACACACGAGGAAAATTGTATGTCGCGGTGTTTCAATACAAACATGAATATATGAAGTCGACGTGGAAATCCAACTCCGTGGAGGGAGCAGGCACGAACGTTCTAGATACACCAAATATTCCGCCATTGCCGAAAGAAGTACAAACAAATTCGCAGTCGTTATTCGTATCATTTCATTTATGTACAGGTGAAAGAGGCCGCACATGCCGCTCGGCGTGTTATTGCCTCTCCATGTCCTGCTCGACGAGCTGTGCTTCCTGGCGGAGTTCCCGAATGACTTGCTGCAGCGCCAAGAATCTATTAGCAATTTACCCCTCCGTAAAAGAGCCTTTTCCTTCCTGGTAAGGAGAAGAAACAAAGACATACCGCCAAGGCCTCTGGATTTACCCCGCGCTCAATCAGCGCGATGCATATTGACAGTGTCTTGCGATCGAGGTGGCAGTTCTGCACGTGTGCCTGTCAGTTTTGCGTGTGGAAAGGGGCAGAGGCAGGGCGTACGAGAATGGTGGATATCTCGTGCAGAATATCGACGGCCTGCTGTGCGGCGGCGCGCTTGTCGGGTTCCGGCATCGTCGGATTGGACCTTTTTTTCTTCGAAATAGACGTCGAGAGTTTGATGTGTTGGGAGACGCGACCGTGACCGTGGTGAGTGTTGCACCACCCCCACCAACAAGCCGCGCCCCGGTTTATGTGCGACGAGATCGCCTCAAGTTTACGGCGAGAGCGAACCCTCTTTGACATTTTTCTTTGGTGTTTTACGCCGGATTGAATCTCTATCGCACTAGTATATAATTTGCACCTTTAAATCAATTTCTCAGCCTCTCGCGCAGGTCATCTTGGGGATGCTTCTGAACGTTTCTGAACGCTAGTATACCAAGCAGCGAGGTTGCACTTTGCCGGTCGCCTGCTGGACTCTCAGTTTTCTTAAAGTTGTCAGGCAAGCCAAAGACGGAAAGATAGTACGCGCTTCGCATGAATATCTGCTGGAAATCTAAAAGCCCGTACACCAACACCAAAATACCCATGACGACCAATACCAAAACACGCTCAAAAATGACATAGATATATACAGACGCCATTTCTCGCCAGCCGCTCACGACTTCATGGCCTCGACAAACAGCTCTCTCATGCCCTTGAGCAGCACCACGAGCTCTCTGGACTCGTTGACCTTCTCCAGGACCCTATCGACCGCGTCGCGCTCCAGCTTGGGCCGGCAGTGCCGCACGTCATAGTCTCGCGCGCCCGTCGCGAGCTCGAACCACGCCTCCCGCTCCCAGTTGCGCTCGTCAATGTGCGTGTAGACAAACTTGAGGCGGTCGTCGCGGCCCGCGCCCTCGATACGCAGGCACAGGTTGGTGATCCAAAAGTCGAGCTCGGGCACGTTGAACCGCGACTGCGCCTCCTGCCGCGCCGCATGCGTGCGCTGCGCGGCCAGCTTGGCGTCAATGTCGCGCTGCGCCTGCGTCATCTGCGCCCGGAGGTTGTCGCGCGTCGCCAGGTGGTGGTCGCGCTGCGCCGCCAGCGACGCCACGGCCGCCTCCATCTCGTGCTTTTCGGATTCTTCCTTTTCGGCGCTCTGCTGGTACGTCGTCGTCTTGACCTGGGCGATTTCAATGTCCTTCTTCTTCATGCGCTGGTCCTCTTTGCGGGGGGACGGCAGGTCAGCAAAGTTGTCACCGTAGCGTGGCGAGGCCCTTACCTTGTAGCTCCGCGACGTCCATGCGAAATTGGTTGCGCTCTTCGAGCACTTTTTTGCGCCCCTGCTCGATGTAGGCATCGAATCTGGTGGTGAATTTCGCCATGCGCTCGCGCAACTCGTCGAACCCAAAGTTGATGCTTGGTAGCTGGTCCACCATCGACGGCCCGGTCGGCGCCATTGTTGGCCGACTGACGCTGCCAGAGAATGTAGTTGTATGCTCGTATGTTGTCGCCATTTTGAAAGTAATTTTCTCGACGTCTGAGATCGTCGGTCCCTGAAATCAGCACACTCTCAATTTGAGCGTTTGACGCGATAAATGGTGGGACGTGTTGACACACACGATGACGTTGCTCGGCCGACCGCGCTCCAGTGTGTTATGATTTAAGTAGAGATCATAGTACGCACAATTAGCTAGAGACCTACTTATAGTAGAAAGCTAGAAAGGGATAGTAGTATATAGATAAAGGAGTTAAGTTTAGAGAAACTAATCCTAATTACTAATAAAATTAGGTAATAAAAAGATATACTAAAGGAGTATAATTAGGCTAATTAGCTAGACTAGAAAATAGGTATAAAAAGAAAGGAATTTCCCCTCTTAGTTAAAAAAGAATAAAATAAAAATAGTTATAAGTTTTAATATATATTATTCTTTAACTTTACTATATAAAATTATTCTTAATTATAATTATATAAGGGTTAGGTTAGATTAGGTAGAAAAGTAAGGAAGGAAAAAGGTAGGTTATATTACTTATTAAGATTAAAGCTTATCCCCTTTTTTCTTTTAAGAAATATCCTCTTTATTTTATAATAACTAAAAGGAGAATAACCTATTCTTTTAATTAGAGTTTAAATACTATTTAAATACTAATTAAAACTTATATAAGTTAGTCTTATTCTTATAGGTCTACTTAAGGTCTTAATTTAGGCTTAACTTATATATAAGTCTTACTAATCTTATAACTAATTCTTCTTTAGGCTAACTCTAGGCACCTCTTTACTTTATAGCTAATTAGTTATCTTATATAATTTATACTTACTATAGATCTTTAGCTACTATATATTTAATACTAGTAGTATTAACTTTACTAGTAGTATATAGTTCCCTAATTACTAGGGTTTCTTATAATTATAAGTACTAAATTAGGTTTAATTTAGATTATACCTATTAAGGTATTATAATTACCTCCCTTTTTAAGAGGTATTTCTCTAGGTATTATATTTTAGCCTTTATATTATTCTTTATTATTATAAATAGGATATATACTTAAGTAATAGGTTATTTTATAAATATAATATAGTTAATTTATATAGGTATTATAGTTATTAGCTAATAACTACTAGCTAATAAATAATTAGTAAAATAATATAAAAGTTTTTTAATTTACCTTTAAAATAGGTTCTTTTATATTATCCTTTTATAACTTTCTATTTATACCTTTTCTTAGTCTTATATTCTTTAGATTATTATATTAACTCCTTATAATAAATAAACTTATAATAAAGTATTTTTAAATTAAACTATCTTTTTAGTTATTATTATTAAATAGTAATAGTATTTACTTATCCCTTTTAATCTCTTAATAAGCCTTTATTAAACCTTATAAAGCCTTTATACTAGAACTATAACTATACTAACTACTTTATCTAACTAAATAGTATATTAACCTATATTCCCTTTACCTCTAGGTTATATTAATACTATAGTTACTCCTTTAGTATAGGTATTTTCTTTACTACTTAGTCTTATATTACTTTAATTTAAAGATCTTATAAACTACTTTAGTTAGTTAGATACTAATTAATAAAGCCTATATTTCTAGTTTTATACCTAGATTATAGTTTAGTCTTTATTTAACTTAACTTTATAAATCTTATTAATACCTTATTTTTTTAACTTAATAACTCTATTAATATACTATAAGTATATTTTATATAAGAATATCCTAGCTTTTAGTCTATACTACTAACCCTAAGCCTAGCCTTTAGAATAAGTATAGTTTAAATAGTAGCTTACTAGTTTAAATAGGATAGAAAAGTACTTTAATTTTAAAATAAAGCTATATATATTAAAGAATAAAATAATATTACTAAATCCTCTACCTTCTTTATATATACTTTTAAAATAGGCTATATTTTATATTCTAATATCTAAGGAGGCTATTATTACTAGGGTACTTAAGGCTTTATCTTAACTTATAGTTAAGTTATTAGTTATTCTAGCTTAAATATCTTTTTATAGGCCTTAGTACTTAAGCCTTTATTAACTTATCTTATTATTCTTTTTAATAAGGAAGATCTTATAGTTACTAAATTATATTAAATCTTTTTTAATAATTATAACTTTATTTAATACTTATAGCTACTATATCCTATTACTCTTATTACTTTTATTATTAAGATTAAGGATTTAAATATAAATATTAAATAAGATATTACTAAAGATAATAATAATAATAATAGTAATTATATTAATACTTATAACTAATCTTTTAAAAAAGAATAAATAAATAATATAGATAAAAAGGGTAATACTCTTAATTTCCTTAATAAGATAATTAATATTATTTACTATACTTATATAACTAATACTTTCTATATATATTATATTCTTTACTCCTTTATAACTTATTAATATAAACTTAAGTTAGAATCCCTTCCTATATAATACTTTTTTATAAGATACTTTTAGTCTTTAGTAGAAATATCTTAGTATATATACTATTATAAGATATATATTAGTTATTAACCTATATATTAATAGTTTAATACTTAAATCTATTTTATAGCTAATATTTTCTTTTTCTAATAGAATCCCTATAGTATACTAGCTAATTATACCTAGTTTATCTATTTTTTAAACCTTAGTTAGTCTTAATATAAAGTAAGAAATAATAATAATAAATATATTTTTTATTAAGAAGTATATTAAAATCTAGCTTAATTTAGCTTTAATTTAGCCTTAACTTTTAATATAATTAAGAATTAGTATAATTCTACTTATAATTTAATTATAACTAAGAAGTTCTTATAAGTATATATTCTTTTCTTATTTATAGTCTTTTTAAACTTATAACTAACTTCTTTTTTTCTTTAGATAAGATTCCTATATTAAATATAATAATCTAATAAATATATATAATATAATTATAGTTTAGATTAATAGTAAGATCCCTTTACTAGGATTAACCCTAATAGATAATAGCTATAATCCTTAGCTTAATACTAAGGTATCTTTTTAAACTTAATACTTATATATCTTATTTTATTCTTTTCCCTTATAAGCTATAGAATTTAAGGTAAGTATACCTAGTATTTATAATATTCTTTTATAATAAATAAGATATAATTTAAGACTTCTATTTATTCTTTTTTTTTTTTTATTATTTTATTATATAACTAATACTATTTTATAAGAGTTCTTTATCCCTTTAGTAGTTATTAATATAACCTTTTCTTTAGATATCCTCTTCCTTTAGGTATATTCTTAAGACTATTTTAAGTCTTATATTCTTTAATACTTACCTATATATTAGCTATATTTTCTTCTTATACTTATTTATTATATTTAGTAGGCTATCTTTTTTATTTAACTAAGAATAATTAAATCTTTTTTTATTTATAGCTATTTATAATATTCTTTACTTTTTACTTATCTTTAAAATCTTTAAGGTCTAGTATTAATAGTAATTTAGTATTACCCCCTTTTTAAGGCTTTAATAAGCTAATATAGAATATATTATATAGATATTTATATTATCTAGGTATTATAAGCTAGTATACTTATAAACCTATTTTATTTATTATATATAGTAATTTAATTTAGTATAAGGCTAACTTTCTTTAAATAGCCTTAACCTAAAAGTTCTTTATAAAGAATATAATTAAATCTCTTTTCTTAAGTTCTAGTAGTTAGTACTTTATATTATAATATTAGTTTTAATATACTATTATTACTTCTTAATATTAAGTTATTTTATTTTATACTTCTTATAGTTTTTAGATCTAGATTCTAGGTTCTAATAGTCTCTCCCTAGATAAGTTAACCTTAACTTATATATATATCTTAAGATAGAAACCTATAAGTAGAAAAGCTAAACTATTCCTAGTTATAGTATTTACTATATTATTATATATATATTAAATTATATATAGTAGCCTTAGCTAATTATATTATACCTTTATTAAGAAGTAATATAAGTAATACTTTAATATTTAATTTATTTATTTTATTTATTTATCTATTTAAGAATAGAAAGTAGTAAATAATTATTAATAAATATATATTATATAGTATAGTTCTACCTAGAAGTTACTAGTAAATAGTATACTATAATCTAAAATAATACTATTTAAAGTACTAAATATTAATTCTACCTATATATAGAATAAATCTATTAGGTTAATAGCCTTTATTATATAAAAGACTATAAAGAAGAGTAAATACTTTATATAATAATTAATAATAATAAGAATAAAGTCCTTCTCCTTATTCTTAAAATAAACTAGTAATAAGCTAATAATAAAATCTATACTTAGCTTTACCTATAATTAACTTAGTATTAGTAATAATATAAGTATACTATATAGCTTATATTACTTTATTACTACTAGCTAATAAGTAGTATATATAGTAATATAGTTTCTTATATTATAATTTATATATTCCTAATAAAAGTTTTATTAAAGAATATTATTTATTCTATTTATACTAAAATATCCTATAAATAGATTATTATAATATAATTATAATAGCCTATTAATAAGTTCTATATTCTTAAAAATATAGATCCTACTTTTATAATATAGTAGTAAATTACTTTTAACTTACTAGCCTTTTCTTTACTAAGTTCTTTAGAAATATTATTAGTATATTTAGTTTACCTTTTAGGCTTTAAGAATAGATACTTTTAAATCTATTTCCTTTATTTTATAGTAATATATATCTATAACTATAGTAAGTACTTTTATACCTAGCCTACTAAATTTCTATTAAGTTAGGTTTAAGTCTTATAAGGCTATACCTTATATTTAACTTATAGGTATATTATTTATTATTAATATACTATTTAGGTCTTTTATATTCTCTTTATTTCTAAGTTAGACTAGTTCTATTTAGCCTTTTATAGCTTAAATACTAATTATAGTAATAAATATTATCTTCTTTTTAAGATTATCTATTAGACTTATATTTAGGCTATCTTTTAAAATATAATTAGGTTAGTAACTTAGGGTATT